TTCTTCCAGAGACCTCTGACTGAGTAATGCATTATTTTTAATAATAAATTTGTGTTTTATGGAATTTGGTCCTAAAGTCTAATAAATGCAGTGAATGAAACATTTGAAAATCGGAAATGCCCTTGGGCATCAAAAATGCAACTATTTAGCAAAGCATTACAAATCAATTAGGCCTTATAAAAGTTGTATATCTGCTCATTAGGCTTGCTGTAGTAGTCAGTTACCGTTGTTACAGTACATGCTGTTCAGCTGTATACGATTACATCACTTGGCCACAATGGCACCGCCTCCACTGTTGTTGTTGTTTTTTTATAGAAATAAAAACAATTTAGTTCAGATGGACAATGGACGCTACAATTATAAACTGAAAGCTTCGGCTTTGCTCTATAAACAGCACGAGCTGCAGATCAGAGGTGTAAAAAATACCCAAAAACCATATATTATTCTTTACAGCGACTTAATGACTTCACTACGAGTTACAAGTCACCAGTTCCAATACGACTATAGAGTAAAATAGGCCTGGTTTCACAAACAGGGCTTGGATTAAGCCAGATAGGTCTTAGTTAAATTAGGACATTTAAGTAGCTTTTAGAAACATGCTTTTGGGGAAAAAAAGACAAAACATCGAGACAAAACAATTGCAATGATACAATAAATCAAGGTCAACAAAGCAGCCTCTTAAACATATAAACACTCACATCTCAGTATAGCTCAAGTGCTCAAAAACTTTAAGATGTAAGATTTAATCAAATTAAAGCATGCATATGTCCATAAATTATTATAATAATAACAGTAAGCAATAATTTATAAACCGTTTCTTCCCCCCCCCCACACACACACACACACATACATTGCCCCTTAACCGTTTGCGCAGTTTATTTTTGCAAAATGGTTCATTTTTTCCTGCATCTCTCCCCATTCTTGTTTGTATTAGCGTTGATGTGAGGCATGGTAGGACATGTTATGGCTTAATCCAATTATATCCCAATACCCCCCCCCCCCCAAACAACACACACACACACACTCACACACACAATCCATGCGTCACTGTGCCACTGAGCAGCTTTGATAAGCATGCTACCATAAACCTCAGTTATTAGTGATTAAAATTGGGCGATGTCTCTAAGGATTTTCAGCTCTCATGCTTTAATAATTCCATATTTAGCTGTTTTTTGTGTCACCATTTTTTTGGTCATTTTGCTTTTTTCTCTGCCCCTCTACCTCTCTCTCTCTCTCTCTCTCACACACATTTACTTTCACCAGGACAGAGATTTACTGCCAGAGGAACTAGACGGTACGTACAAAACATGCATATTTAATATCCGAGCCATTGCACAGCACATAGACAAACACAATACAAATGCTGCACACACTCAGCATAAGATAAACAACTGACAAAATTCAATAACATCTGACACAAATAAATTTGATTAAAAATGAATTGGTATTGTCATGAATGGTGAATGGCATACAGAGGATAGAGAAGTAAGCTGCATTAATAATACCAGAGCAGTGAGTCAGCCTTACGCTTAAGCTGCACAGTCGCATAGAATATACAACAGGTACAGTATGTAGCCTATACTGATGTAAAGTTCAATTATACATAATAATAATAACTAAACTAATTGTCCACCCCTAGTTTAAGGTGTTTTTTTGTTTACCTGGATGTTCTTGATGTTATGTTTTCAGGTTGATCTAACTATATTATTATATTAAGTTGAAATGACACTGTCAAATTTGACATTTGTGACATAATGTTTTATGTAATGCCAATATGGGACATAATAATTAAGACCGCTAATATGGGACAGGCCAAAAGCACCATTTTAAGAGGGGAAACAGATCAATGTGTTTTAAACTATAGCTATCTCTTATACTAGGATACGTTTTATTACTAGAGAACACATTTAATATTTCTTGCAATAAAACAGAGGATTTGTAAACACTCACTCCTAAAATGTAGCCCATTACAAATTGCAGAATACTATATCCAGTAAGTTGAAGAAAAGTTGGCGATGTGATTAAATGTGATTACATTTCTCTACCCTTTAGAGCTCCATGTAGCATTTAAAGAGTTTGACTATGACCAGGATGGGTATTTGCACTACAAAGATGTTGCAGACTGCATGAGAACCATGGGATACATGCCAACAGAGATGGAACTGATTGAGATCATTCAGCAGATAAAAATGAAATGTGAGTGAATTCCTGAAACCAGTTTCAGATTATGGCATTTGTGACTACCTAAGGTCTACTCGTTCAAAAGTTTGAGGTCACTGCAGTTTTTTGTTTTGCTCGTTTGTGTTGAAAGAAATACTTTTACGTACCAAGGACACATTAAATTATTCAAAAGTGACAGTAAAGACATTTATAAAGTTATTGTCTATTTAAAATAAACTTTTTATTTGTCAAAGAAGTATCACGGCTTCCACAATAATACTGAGCCGCACAACTGTCTACAATATTATTATAATAAGAAATGATTTCAAAATCAAACTCTTCAAATCAGCATATAAAAATGATTACGGAAGGATCATGTGACACTGAAGACTGGCGTAATGATGCTGAAAATTCAGCTTGGCCATCACAGGAATAATATATATATCTTTTTATGTCACATTACTGTTTTCACTGTATTTTTGATTGATTAAATGCAGCCTTGGTGAGACTTCTTTCAAAAACATTAAAACATCTTACCAACTCTAAACTTTTGAACGGTACTGTATGCCAGTTTAAATGCAAAGATAAGCGTGTTAATGTGCTATGTGTGTGTTTGTAGGGGGTGGTCATGTGGACTTTGATGATTTCTGTGAATTAATGGGGCCCAGGATGCTGGCTGAGACTGCTCATATGGTCGGTCTAAGGGAGATGCACTGTGCATTCAAACAGGTGAGTACACACTCTAAAGTTGCCTTCAAATGAAGCTCACTTTGAAGTGTAGCTACATTAAATAGCGAGCAAAACCCCACAAACATCAAATTGTGATATATTGCATTGCTTTTCCTAACCTATAAATAAAATGATATCTTCGTGAAACTGAATATCTCTCTTAGTTTGACTGTGACGGTGATGGACGGATCACCTTTGAGGAGCTGAAAGAGTCCACAAAGACTTTGCTCGGTGAGAAACTGAAGAAAGGAGAACTGGAAGAAATTCTGACAGACATAGACCTCAACGGAGATGGGAACGTGGACTTTGATGGTAAGGAAGGCAGAATACTTTTGAATATGTACTATTTTGGGAACTGATGCATGAGTTTATAGGTGAGAAGACTTTCTCTGGACTGTTGAGCAGTGTAGATCAAAGCTCAAGACATTCACTAAAGCAGTGAACAAGCATTGAGTCACTAGGGTAATTTAAAAGTAATAACCAACGCAATTCACTCAAAAACAACTCTAGAGCGCCATCTAGTGGTCAGTATATGAAACATCAGCAGCCCTCTTTTCCTATAAAATAAAAGTTGTTCTTGCTGTGGATCTGCTTTTCTATGCTTTTGGATTGTTTTGCCACTGCAAAAATATTTTTCCAAAATTAAATCTCCAGACAACATGAGCTGAGGGAAATTATCTAGGAGCTTCATACATCATACACAGAAACATGTCTATCAGTCACAGCCTCGCTTTCCTGTCATGGCGCTGCTCTGAAAAAGGTCTAGAATTTTTTTACTGTTTGCCCCAACTATGGAGCATCAGACGCAACTAGTCTCGAGAGATGATGTTTATTTAAAAAAAAAATCGGCTGGAGGTACAACCAACCTACCTCTATCCCGCCACGACAGTCTTCCAGCATCCCTCCATTAATTTATGCGTTCGGACTGTCTTCGGACCTTCTGACTCGGAACCAATTCCGAGTTTGGAGCCCTTCCACTCGGACAGCACGCCAGATATGCATAACTTACTTGTTCTTTATCAAATTATATGTAAGGGTGAAGTCGTGAACTTTATATTTACTTCTTTTGAAATAAAGTGAAGTTATAAACGAAATAATTTGTTCATCTCCACTTGTCAATCAATTAACGTTAGCCTAGTTACCTCAGGAGATGTGGTGGCCATTGTTGGCAGCTTCGCGCATGTAAACGTACAGCAAATCGAACGAGGAGAAGCAGCAGAGTTGGGATAAAGTAAATAAAAAAGATGTTAAAATCCCTAAAAGCCAAGGTTGTGGAATTTACCGGGATAATAAATGGGGAAGCCAGTGACCAGTAGGCTACAAGCTGTCAACATGGCCGCAACGTGGCGCCCAAGCCCTATTCCCGCCATCTCCATGTTTAATCTCAATGAATAAAGTAACTATAAATAATGATAAAAGAGCAAAGAAGAGTTCGAGTGCGCTTTCAATAATCCGATGAATGTTTGAAAAAGGCTCGCTTCATTTTCACACGAATTCCGTTGATTAGTACGGAACCCCTCAGGTGACATTTCAGGGAAAGGGCTTCTTGAAGTGTGCCTCGTAGTAAACTAGAACCAATAATTTATATTAACTGAAAGTTTTGTCTCGGTTTTCTTTCAGAGTTTGTCATGATGCTGTCTCTCCGATAGCTGAATGGATTTCCACGTGAGCTCAATCATGAAATCATCAAACCTGTCAAAATATGGTGTGCATGAACTGCTGATATTTCTGTAGAACTGTACAGAGTATTTGTATTCAATAAAGGTCCGAAACTGTGTCAAAATGTTCTAGTTTGCTCGATGGAGGATGGTGGATTATCTAAATAGTAAGTAGTGTACGGGACAACACATCTGGGAGTTATGAAACAGCTGTTGTTGCACAACCAGTGACGTTGCTGCAACCTAGTGGAGGACATAGGGAACGATAATAATAATCCTTATTATCTGATAAGAATTATAATAATATTAATAAAATTAACTAGGCTTTAGTATCCCTGGAAAATGGATGGATAATAATAATCCTTGCAGACCTACATAGGCTCCAACATCCCATGACTCTATGAAAAGCAGTTTGTAAAATAGATGGATGGATGTAAATAAAACTAACAAAGATACAATGAAAAAGATGTGCATTTTATTTGAAAATTGACAACTTAAATATTTGAGCATAGCTGTAAAAAAATTACTTTTTTAAAACAAAATGATTTACATATAACAGCCATTATTTGACATAATTTACACACTTAAAGGACTGAGAGGCGAATGAAGTAAATTAAACAACAGAATTAATTCTCCGGCAACAGGAGTGCAAAAACCAAAGCGGACGCATTATACCATAGTAGCAGAATGCAACAAGGTATTATAAGGCAAAAGTTTGTTTAGTCTGCACACAACAAGCACCACACAGGTATGAGCTAGTGGGTTAGCATTCATCACTCACAATATGCAGAATGCTTGCTGGATCTCCTTTCAGTATGGTGCTGGTTGCAGCTAAAGTATAGTTTGTTTTTACCTATCAAAATATTGCAAGTTTCCCTTTGCCATTTGTTTGTGTATAAATATCTAAACCTCATTCTCAAAAATTACCTTGCTTGTACCCAAAAAGAGACACTTGACTTGCAATATGGTGGCATGCTGTTTTTTTCTGTTTTGAAAGCAAACCTACAGCAAAAATGAATGATCCATCTGAAACTAAACTATTGAGACATTTGGAAGTCCTAACTATTTCCTCAGTATGAAATAAACCTACGCTTAACAGTATCGTGCCCATCTCTGAACTGAAAGTTTGAGACAGGAAGGAACTGTGCAAGCTTCATTAACGCCCAGTACTGCAAAAGTAACAAATAAATACAAGTGCATCTTCAGAGTTGTCAACTCTGTTGTTGTGCGACAACAGCCTCTTGTGCGTGCTTAACAGGTCAAGAAAGAAAGCTCAGAAGCGATGGTTTCTCCAGAGATTTAAGTGAAGAAAAGATATTTAAAGTTGCCTTCTATCTTGGTGTCCACCTTTTTTGTAGATGCGCCCTGTCCACTTCAACACACACACACAAAGCATGATCATGTTGAAAATGTTGGAATGCTCTCCAGCAACATTTCTGCCCCGAAAGCACTGTATGGAGGCTAGGGGCACCTGACAGGAACAGAATTTTATGTAGATTGTTTCTCCTAAACAAGATCAGACAGGCTGCTGAACAATAAATACTACAGGAAGGGATGTCGTCTAACACTCATCTTGAACACAAAGAAAACCGATGGTGATTAACAGATCGGTATGAAACTACAATAAACACTTTGTTCTTGCAATTCTCTGCATGAATTACATCTAAGCACACATGTAAATCCGTGCTGAGTTTTCAGTTGACTCTCCTTGGAATCTCATTAGTTCTTCGTCAGTCAGCACCATTGAGTGTTTGCATGTTGGCCAGCAGAGTGACAGGGAGTTCTGTGTGTGTTTGTGTGGAAGCTCTAGTCCCTGGGAAGGTTCTGCAGGTAGGTGAGAATGTGTTGGATCTTGACTAGTCGTTCTTTTAGTGTTGTCATGGAGAGGACAGACAGCTGGTAGCGTGGATCAACAGGAAGAACAGCTAGAAGCCACCAACAGCACGCTGGACCATTAGGTGTGGCCTGGAATAGGAAGAAAGTGTGTTTAGCGTCTTAAAATCAGCCTGCTGATTTAAGTACAATAAGGGGGTCATGTCCTAAGGATGTACAACATCCCAACCATGTCGGTTATTTGCCGATTTACATTTATCTTCATCTGTTGATAATGGAAATGTATCACCCGTTATTGCATTTCTAGTTGTACATGCCAATTTCCTCTATTTTTCATTCCAGATTATGTATACTATTAATTTAGTTATTCATATTTTGTTTTTAGCAATATTTCTATTTCGTTTTATTTTTTATTTTTAGTACTCCTTTTCTAAACTAGGATTTCTAATGTCCATTGTGTTAAGTTTCTCATGTAATATTTATATTGTATTTAATTTTATCACATTTTATTTGACAAAAAATATTTTTAGTAGCTTGTTTTAGTTCTAAATGGGTCATGAACTGCAATTTTTTATTATTTTATAATGCTTCCTGAGGTCAGTATGATTTGTAGATCAAAAATTGCAGTACATAGAAAATAGTACATAACTTTTTTTAATTAAATTTTAATTAAAGATCAAGGAAAATTTGCCCCGTAAATATAATGCTTTCTTTTGTAAAAGAGAAAGACCAACTAAACTAAATGCTCATAAAAGGCCATATAAGGACCGGCTACATTCATGAAGCTTACACAACAGCAACCTCCCGCCATTATTATCATTCAAAGCATGCCATTCCTCTACTGAAAAACAACGATTGTGTTTGCAAAAGCTGCCAAATTCACTTCCGTTCTTTCTGACACATTTATGATGTAAACGCACTTATGCAATCCAAACCCTGAATACACTTTGACCTACTTCCTCCCGCCTAGCCTGCTGTAGGGCTAAGAAGGGGGGTGGGGTTTCTTTCAGTAGGAGGGATTAAGCAAGCGGGAAATACCTGGATGTCAGCCTCTCTCTCAGGCATTGGCCCAAAATGCTGCAGGATCTGGTTCCGAAAGCGTGTCTCCAGGTTCTGGAACCATTTACGGGCCTGGTCGTACACCTGATCATGTAACACTTGTAGCTTTTTCAATTCTTCCTCATCCTTTACCTAAAACACACAAAACTGATAAATTCTCAAGCTTTATTTAACATTGCATCTTTAATTAAAGCTTAGTTTAACTTGTGACTAACTGATAAGAAAATAATGTTTCCAAATAAAACAAGTCTTATATCTTGCATTTCAGTAATCTTACATTACAGTAATCTAAAAATCCACAGAAGTGCATACCTTCATATCCTCCAGATACTTGATGTTGGCAATACAGTATCCGTCTTTCATAGCGCGTGAGAGGACGCAAAACCTCTTTCCTCCGATTGTATCCACGACAGAGCGCCCGTCTGGGAGGAAATGTACGCTTCGGATTTGAAGCATGCAGCCAAAGTCCACAAACCTTGACATATCAAAATATAAAAATCAGCAACGTAATCCAACAGACTTAATGCTAACAGCCCCATGAGAACACGTATAAGCACATGCTTACCCTTTCTGGGGGTCACTGATGCACATGCCGAACTGACGTGTCCCAGTTTCCATGCAGCGTCGTATCATGAGACGGTATCGTGGCTCAAACACATGAAGAGGGCAAGGCACAGTGGGGTAGGCCATGGTGCAAACAAAGATGGGCACATTCTTTGTTAAACTAGGAAAGACAAATAACAGAAGAGATTGAGTGTGATCTGAAGATTAGATATATAAGACTGTGTGTGTAAGACTTTGTTAAACTTAATTTTCAATAAACAAATGTTTCTCAAACAGTAATATTATATCAAGGTAACAATACAAATCACAATGTGATATCTTTTGTTGAATTAAAAACGTAACAATTGAAAGGTACTTCATCTCATTTAATCATTTTTCTCTTTGTAATTACAACTTGATGGATTCAAACAAAAAAAGATTATGCATCATAATTGAATGGTAAGTCTGGCATCCGTGGAAAAGCATCTTCACATTATGTAACGCTTTAATAAAGACTCAAAACGATGAATCTGATTAAATTATCCACAAATGAAGCAATTGTGCATACTTACTCTGAGAGCTCTTTAGTTTCCTCTGCATGCAGTTTTAGTCTTTCTGAATGTTCCTTGGATAGATACTGCTTAATGATGTCATCCAGCACTTGTGTGATTGTGTACTTTCTAAAGGCAAGATACTGTATGAAAAACGAAAAAGAGGATGAGAACACCAAGAGAGAGATGAGGAGGAGCAATTACTAACACCCAAATATTTTAAAATGTAATTGAATATATGAAACTGCGTATAATATGTAAAAATGTAATATAAAAAATACTATGTGCACAACAATATGGACGACCAAATAGCCTTAGTGTCAATGTGAGTCTTGGAAGCAAAATTAAGAATTAACATTATAAATAAATGACAATATGAATTATGAAAAATGTAAATACTTTTTTCAACTATGCTGCTAAAATATAAATACATCTAAAACAATTGTATTAGAAATATAAATTTTATTAAAAAATAGTATTTCATTTACCTTTATAGTTGAATTTATTTCATTTATTAAAAAAAAGAAAATTCTTATTTTTGAGCCCTGAACGCTATTATAATGACTTGAATGTTGCTTGCCGTCCAAATGCACAGTCTATGATGTTGATACGAACCTCTTTCAGGCTTTCTTTGCAGAGAGGGCACTGGGAATTGTGGTCTAGGCAGCGCTCCAGACAGTTTTTGCAGAATGTGTGACCACATGGTGTTGTGACGGGTTGATAAAATAATCTAGAAAAGAGATAAGAGATGTTGTTGAGCTATATTAAACAGTCAGTGACTGACACTTTCAATTTTAGTGGGGTGCAAAAATCACACAAAGTGAAAGCAAACACTTTCACTGGCACATGAACCTGCTGTCTGACATCTCATCTGAGGCTTTTTTGTTTTCACAGGGAAACAGAAGCTATACTAAGACACTGTTTACACTTCATTTCAGGTCCGATTAATCATATAAATGACATAGTTGACGCACGACTAATCCCAATTAATCGCACATTTTTATCTACTCTAAATGTCTCTTGATTTCTTTTTGTCCCATTATTTGTTTCTCATTTTAATGCTCTTATCAACATGGATGGATCGGCTTGCTTTGTGCAAATGTTTTTTATTGAAAACAACATTGGCATATACAGTGTTCAATTTCACACAATTTCATCACTTTGGTCTTGTCAACGGAAGCATTTGGCAACTTTTTAAAAGTAAACTTTCCATTGAGAATCTCCATTTCCATCGCGTTCATCATCCACTCAAAAAGTAACGTTAACCAACTATTTGGCCGGCTCGCAAGCCCAAACAAGTGTGTGCGGCGTGCCTGTTGTTTTGTTTCTGGTCTATCTAGAAGCTATTGAATGGGTTTCATAGTGCAGCGCAAGCCGCATATGCCGCGTCCTGTGGCTAAAGCATGTGAAAAAACTACAAAGTTTGCAAGGCCAAAAAGTGAATGGCGTGAAAAAAAAAAATGTACGCCATTAATAGTGCATTTAACTGACAGCTGTTTTTTTTTTTTTTTTTTTTTTTGAGAAACAGTCTGCTAATTCTTTTCAGTTTTTTCATAGGACTTGGACAATAAGAGGACTTTTCATAGGACTTTTGACTGTAAAAACACTCTTCCCTCACCTCATACAGAGAGAGCACTCAAAATCATTTGGGTCCAGCAGGTCTTTTGGCAGGGTTTGATAGGACTTAGTTTCCTCTGTAACCACAGGAGTAGCTGCACTGGCAGTCACTGAAGGAGAAAAGTAGAAAAGCAGAGCTTTAGGACAAACTCAAGTGACATTTCAGACATATTCAAGCGATGATAGTAATGCATTCTGATCACAGTGCCAGTGGAAATAAGGTCTCGAAAACAGACATCTTTTAAAGGATCTACTAATCATTGGGCTGCCTGAATTAAGTTGACTAATCATTCTAGGGAAGCCCTGTATAATTAGGCTGGTTTTGGATTTACTGGGGTCATTGGAAAACCACCTGACCAGCTACAATTTAGCTTTTGCCTTTCATAAAAAATTATCAGATATACAGTCAGTACAGTATTTGCATGGCTTTTCAACATTTGTGAACATTTCAAAATGCAGTTTTACGTGTCTTTGACTTACCAACATGCTTTTTGTGTTTACTGCCATGGCTGTAAGCCACGCTAGACCCCGCTTCAGACACAGACAGCTTCCTCTTTAGCAGCGCGCCTTTTTCTGGGTCACCCAACTGGGGGGCGGAGCTAACTCTTTTAAGCCCCTCCTCTACACCTCCCCCTATCCCGTGAGCACGAAGGGAGTGAGCTCTGCTCAGGCCGGAGCGTTCCAGACTTTCAGATCGACCTGGTTTCTGCAGACAAGCAAATGAGGTGATAAAATATTAAGAGCTGCTGATGTCACTGTCAAAGAGATTTAGTTCTAAAGTTCATGGTGCAAAGGCGCTATGGTGACCAGTATACCTCTGAGGTTTTAGAGGGAAGATGGGCAGATGCTGCCTGAGAGTCAGACGGATGCTGGGCTTGCAACTGGGTCTGCTGGTCTAGATTTTGGCCATCAGACATCAGGGTTTTACTGCGCAAGTGAAATGAAGAGCTGTGGGTTGTCTCTCTCAATCCAACCTTGACATTATCACTGGCTGGCGCCAACAGGTCATGCAAGATCTGAAGATGAAGAAAGATCAATTTAAATCAAAAAAGTTTAGAAAACAATGCAGCTGCAGTATATATTCAAAAGTTTGGAGTCAGTAAGATTTTTTTTTTTTTTCAGAAATAAATACTTTTATTCAGAATTAAACTGGATTTTATATAAAATTAAATGTTTTAATATATCAAAAGAGTTATTTTAAATTGTAATAATATTTCACAATATTAAAGTTTTACTGTATTTTTGAATAAACAAATACCACCTTGAACAACATGAGACTTCTTTCAAAAACATTTTAGAAATCCTACCAACACTAATCTTTTGAACGGTAGTGTGTGCTATACACAACTTATCTTGCTGTGTTCTGTTTAAAAAAATTTATCGCAAGAATAAGATGCTGCAAGCTAGTGTTTGATTCAGAACTGTTATTTAAGACACTAATCTTAGTAAATGACATTTAGAGATCATGATTTTCCCTTTACAATTGTTCTCAGTCCTAATATAGGCCAAAGGATAAGCACTTAATGACATAAGAGAATGTGTTTTAAGCTCTTCTACACACACACTCTGAAACACAGATTATGCAACACTCACAGTGCACTTTCCTTGTCTTTCTATTTGCTTTGGCAAAAAGTCACAAAGCTTCACCGGTAATAATTATCTAACATAATTTAATTATGGTCCCGCACTGATATGAAACTCAGCTCAGTAACAATAAGTTGAGTCAGGACACAAATAACTAGAACTGTATCTTGAACATAACATTTCCAGTGGATAGATCTGAATCAAAGCTATCATGAGAGACCATATCTAATGTGCCAACAAATGGCTTTAAATAAAATGCAGCCACTGTTAAGCTGATAAACCAACATGCTCCCATAATAGATGGCCTTAACCACAGCAAAGTAGCAAAACATGTTATAGAGACTGCTTAATGATGCTGTAAGCAATGTTAGCCATTCTGTAACTACCATCAGACCACCAAACATATAATATGATATAAATATAATAAAATAGAATGGTAGATTATATATACACAACATAATTATTTGTAGAATTACATAATTAGTATGTTATATTATTATATTAATATAATTAGTATTTATAATATAACTGGGGTTTGCTCTGTTATACTTTTATTTATTTGTTTAATCAGTCACTTGAGGGTGTTTATTTGTTGGCAAAAAATATTCATTTAGTATCAATATTGAAATACAGGTTGGTAACATATTGAAGCCCAATTTTTATTCATCTCACCATTTCCACCTCTTGTTTGGCCTGATGGAAGTTTTCATCCAATGCCAAACACTGAAGGAAGACTTGCAGGGATTCATCCACATGACCCATCTCTTGGAGAAGTTTTGCTTTCCGGAAATATCCCTGCAAGAGAGGGACAGATCAGAGTGAATTTAGCTTCCAGGAGTACAGACGCTGTTTGTGTTAATCTGACTAGAATGGGGCTAAGAGTCTAGTCATGTTATGAATGAATGCTAATAACAAAGCTAGACACTCTGTGACTCACTTCAATATAAATACACATTCAAGTGACCCACATCTCTGCCTTATCCCTACCCGTCTGTATCTCCTTATCTCACCTGTCAGCCTGGCAAACATCCTGTATACCTTAATCCTGTGCTTAACACAACTACATCCCCTTAAAGGGGTTTCCAATAACAAGAACACCACAATAATTGTAGTAGAAATTGAGCTAATTTAACAACTTTAGGTCATATGCGGCAGTGCTGAAATTCAAATGAATGGCAATGATCGCTGATCAGGCATTCAAACTCCTTTATGGTCAAGAAAAAAGCAGCAACAGCAGGGCTAAATAATAAGGATGGTCCTTTTCTGTGACAATTGTTGTGAAATCTGCCAATTAAATATGGTAACATTCTCTATCTGGGTAATATAGCAAGATGAGTCTTTGTTGAAATGTGAAATGTGTATTGTAAACAAGTCAGTTTTGCATTTAATGTCACTGTTTTCAAGCAAAAGTGTATATATGAATTCATGTGTTATAGAGTTAGATTATAGCTTCAAGCCATTATTGCAACTGACATTTTTTTCTAAAACAAAGGCCTCAAAATAAAATGCGCATTGATCCTTTGAATTATGGCTGTATATTGATACTTGGTAAATTGTAAACTTGAGTTTGCCACCCGATGTTAAAGCAACAATCCAACTACTGTAACATTTGTAAAAGCATCCTGATGTAATTTGAAATAAATTTGCAATCTGTAGCAGTTGCAGGCAGTACGCATTAGGAAAATCCACAGACGTACCTCTGGGGATGGGGCAGCAATCAGGCAGGACTCCCAGTTTTCCAAAGCCTTGTGGTACTGCTTCATTCCTCTTTGAGCCTCGGCATGGCACACCTGCACCCACACATTACTAGAGTCTGAGAGAAAGAGAAAGAATCGGAGACCATGACAAATCTCAAAAGCCAAGCTTTAAGACAGTCAAATAGACAATATTTTTCACAATAATCATAATACTCCTGATTCCATAGATAAGGAGAGCATTGAAATTCCACAAGAAGAACTGGAGAGAGGAAGTGACACTGCAGCACTGCCATTTTTTTTCACAAGGGCAAATGAGGACGTGACAGAAGAGATGCGACTGCCGCACTCTGATTACGCTGTCTCTGTAACATGTACAGTGACGTCACAGATCTGGAACCAACAGTTTTATCATGATGTGTATCCCTAACACGATGTGGCAAAGGATAATCAAAGAAGAAGTGTCGTAATTTTTGTTCAGAACGACTGGAAGGTTGTGTACCCATTATGTAACGTACATTATCGGATATTTCCTGTTTGTCACTAAACAAAGATGACATGGTGGTAGATTTTCAGGATTCAACAATGCAAATAATAAAAGTGTCATGCTTAAGATCCACTGATTTGGGTAAAGAGAATAAAACTGTTTCTCTAAATATACATTTATTCAATAAGGGAGTCAAAGACTGTGTTTTATATATCAGGGGCCACCAGTTTTAGTGACCCCATGAGTGACACCAGCTGCTGCAAATATAGTAAACACACTGCAATAAACCCAAAGTACTAAAATGACCACAGATTGACCCGTAGTGGTCAGATGGAATAAGAAGTCTGACACTTAAAATGCAATATACTGTATACTTTATTGTATGAAAGTTTCCATTGGTTCTTATTTAAAAATTAGGATAAAATAAACTACATATATATGACTATTTATCCCTATTATGATAAACTATTATGTATATTAAACTATTATATTATGATATATATATATATCCCTATTATGATATATGTTAAATAAACACCAGCACTGTCTGTGCACATTGTGATCTAATTGTTGTTATAAAACTCTGTTTGCTTCAGATTACAAAACACTGTCACGACCTGCCTTACACAACGCGTGCCGAGTGCGCATGCGCATTGCCAATACGTTTTATAATACAGCCACTCGCCAGTTACATGATCGTGGTGGGCAGGGCTAATACATAAATGAAGGATGTCAATCCGAATGTTGTTCAGCTGAACTCTTTTCACCTTGCACCCTTTTAATAAATAAGATGTGGCGACGATGTTATGATCTAATAACATTGCCCCTGGCATTAGTAACGTTAAATATTTTTAGAAACGAGGAAGGATTTGAACTTACCAGCTTCTAATAATTGACTCGTTAGTGCAATAGTATCGTCGTACTGTTTATTCTTCAATAGGTTTTCAGCTTCTCCTATACATTTAGTTCTTTTGACGTCTTCTGGGAAACACTTCTCTAAAAGTCCACATAAGATCACGTTCAATCGGGGTTCCCCGGGCCTCCTCCCAATGTCTTCACTGCACAGTTTACATTTAGAGAAAGTGCTATGTTGTAAACATCTCCTGCAATACGTATGTCCACATGGCACCGTCACTGGATCGGCTAAGAAACTATGACAACCAGGACAGTCAAATTCACAATCCGGTGTGGAGCTCGGCTCACTTTTTGCAGTAGACTCTTCGGATTTCTTCTTGAAGTTGCGCAGAACGCATCCAACTAAATTGCTCAGCTGGTCTGGCCGGACAGGGCCATATCGAAGAGCCATGGAAAACATATCTACAGCCTCTTTAAGACGATTTTCCGAAGCTAAAGCATCGGCTTTGAATAAAACAAGTTGACGGTGATCAACATGGCTATCCTCGTCCCAGTCGCCTTCTGTTTCAGATGATATAAAAAACCTTCCCCTTTCCTCCAAAGCATATTCTTGGTCTAGTCTTCGTAACGACATGCTTACGAGTGACATTCACAGATACGCCACTAATTTGACAAATATAATAAGTAAAAAATATGTCAAAGCATTCTTACAGCTCACAGTAGCCTACAAGAGAACGTAGTGACTCGCGCCCCTCAACACACAGTCGTTTAGTCCGAGAGTTACGTAAAAAAATATCATCACGTGAGCATCAGCGAGCTCGCCTATTGGCCGCTGAGGCGCATTACAAAACACGAATCTCTGAGTTTTGTAACGTGCGTTTGGGTCTAAAGCGAGAAAGGGCTCATATGAAAGAATGCGTGGCTTTTAATTAGAAAATGTCAGTGTGTCATCAGTTATCATCAGCTTGTCATGTGTTATTTGCTTTTATGCTGCGTGTCTTAGTGAATTAACAGAAACGTACATGATTTCCCCTTGTGATAACATCAGAAATTGTGATTCTATTGTTTCACTGATACCAGAGGCTATTTAATTGTTACGAAAAAGTATATGAATAATTTCCTGTCAAATGTAAACTGCGTTTTTTGTGTGTGTGTGTGTGTTGACTGGGGGTCTAGAATATAGGTTAATGTCTGGGTCTATGTTACTCAACGGTGTTAAGACTGCAGGAATGTCGAGTAGTTATGAAGCTGCAGACTCCTGCAGAGTCCCGCATTCTCAGACCCCTCGTTTTTCGAACACAGCGCCTCCTATCAAATTGTATCGGATAAACATGTGAAGAACATGCGTGAGTAGGCTATCTTCAATTTTATTTAGCGAATCGTAGTAGCCTACTCCTTTGGTTTATTTTTTTAATAAAACTAATTTAGCTCATCGATACAACATATGAATAGTCCATTTAATATTTGTAAAGATAGTTTGTAACAAGATTTGAGCCGTTAATGTATGTTTTTTCGCCCTCTTCCCCCCGAAAATATTTAGATAGCTAATCTTAGCCTTTAACCTTGGACTTTTTGTAGAAATGGCATAAATGCTGCAGTTATTCATAAATGCTGCCCATTCTGTGCCCCCATATATTTTTAAACCCACAAAGTAGTCCAAAATTCAGAAACATCTCAAGGGACACTTCAACAGAGCAGTGCAACATAGCTAACATTTGCAAACATATTTTTTTCTTCCTTTTTGAAACATCATAAGACGCAAATATTTATTGGATAATTTATTTGGAGACCGTAATAATAGTGTGTGGGTGTTATTCGATCTTTTGAACAGCAGGAGGTGCTGTGTTCGAAAAACGAGGGGTCTGAGAATGCGGGACTCTCGGTGGGGGACTGTAGATGCAGGCTCCGAGTCTGCAGCTTCATAATATTGGGGGAATGTCGACAGTCATGTAATATAGGTCACCGACGCACATACGTAATTCCATATTGCACAAGATAAGTCTGAAAGCATTTTCCATTTGGAAGCATGAGTAGCCTATATATCATAGGCGTCATTTATGCTGGGGAAATCATTTTTTCCCTCATCACTTTATAAAATAAAGCATGCTTCAGTTCTCGCTATACTCAATTAATAAAATAAAAAAAAAATCTAGCTTGTGATTCAAAAAGTCATGTAGCCTATATTTGCAATTGTTGTTTATTGCATATAGCCTATGTATCATTTTTGTATTTAGACTTTTTTGCTTTTAACTTTTAACCACCTGAAAACATCGATTTAACGGATGTAGCTTATATAGAAACTCAGTTCTCCGAATGCTATTTTAATCTCTGGGCAAAACTGTGAGGCGTCACTGCAATAAACATAAATAGGAATAGAAACCTAATTGAAATTGCAATAAATACAAAAATACACACAAAAAAATACCAGGCTATACCAGAGAGAGGACAGAAATAAATCAAATGTGAGCTATGCTTTCCTGAAAAATATTTTGTAGTGCATGGATTGCTCAAATGTGCGAATTGAAAAGGTGCATCTGCATATAAAGCGTTTACGAATGTATAGCCTATGCATAATGAAGGATGCATTATTAGACATGAGTCGAGTGGAAAGATTTGTACATGAGAGAATAGTGAGAATTAAGGTTTCCTATCAGAGTAACCAAAACTGTAGTTCATCACGTTTTCACAGATCTTTACAGTCAGTGTATCTTGTTTAATAATTTAAAATCACTAATGTCTAATGTCTTGAACTTTTGCACTTAAATGTGAGCTTTTCTATGTGTTTATAAAATACATATTTGGTTTGATATTCTGTTATCTAATTCATAAATTAGTCTCCTAAAACTTTTTGGAGTCACTTAACTTTTGGGGCGACTACATAATCTGTAGTACGGAAATGACGCAATTGCCTGAAATACAAAACAAGTGATTTCAGGGATTCAAATGGCTATTAAAAAGGTGGAAGATTGGAGTATAGAATGGAGTTTTAAAATGTCTACTAGTAAATCATGTTTCATGATATTTAGCAGGAAAAAAGATTTTAAGGAAATTGAATTAGTTTTATATGGGAAACCTTTAGAACAAGTTAAAACATTTAAATATTTGGGAATGTGGTTAGATGGGAGATATACATGGAAAAAACATATTGAGGAAATTGATAAAAAATGCAGGAGGATCTTAAATGTGATGAGGGCAATAGCTGGGAAAGAATGGGGAGCAGAAAGAGACTCAATGCTAACAATATATCAAGCCTTGATCAGATCAACAATTGATTATGGTAGCATAATTTATGGGTCAGCTTCAGAAACATTATTAAAAAGTATAGATAGAATTCAATATAGAGCTCTTAGAATATGTTTAGGAGCAATTAAAACAACACCGGTTAATGCATTAGAAGCGAATGAAATGCCATTGAAATTAAGGAGAGAGAAATTGTCTTTGGTATTTTGGACATCTTTAAAGAGTTACACTGGAGAAAATATAGCTAAAGATATTTTAAATAATTGTTGGGAATACTGTAATACCGAGAGAGGAGGATATGGATGGAAGATAAATAAGTTAACAGAGAAATATAAGATTGCAAATATTGAATGTAGTATGTCTCCTATATGGGGAGAGGTTCCGAAATGGATTATACCGGAGGTTAGAATTGATTTAGGAATATTAGATAAGAAACGGGAATGGGAGGAAATGGGTATGTTGGAATATAAAGTTAAAAAGTACATACAGGAAAGATTCTATGCAAGTATGCACATTTACACTGATGGATCTAAAGATCCAAGAACAGGAATTACGGGAATAGGAGTGTATATTCCAGAGTTTAAAATATCAATATCGAAACGACTAACATCTAAACTGTCAATATATAGCCTACGGTGGAAATGGTTGCTATTATAATAGGATTAACATGGGTAGAGGAGGTAAGACCAGACAGAATAGTGATATGCTCTGATTCTGCTTCTGTATTAACATCACTAGTTACTCATTGTACGGCCAGAGAAGATTTGATGAGTGAAATATTATCATTATTATGGCGAATACAAAGAAAAGGGGTAGAAATTGGGTTCTGTTGGGTACCAGCGCATGTAGGAGTAGCTGGTAATGAATTTGCTGATGAATTAGCAAAAAATGCTTTAAAAAGGGAAGAAATAGATTTTAATATTCCATTAAGTAAAAGTAAAGTTAAAACTATTATTAAGGAAAATATTATCAAAGAGTGGCAGGAAAACTGGAATACAGATAATAAAGGGCGGTATTTATATAATATTAAAAAAATGGTAGAATCTAAGAAAAGTATAAATGGTAGAAATAGAAAAGAAGAAGTAATATTGACTAGGATGAGACTTGGTCACTCAAGATTGAACGCAACACTATTTATAATTGGAGCTCATGAGACTGGTTTATGTGAGAATTGTGGGGAGAAAGAAACAGTGGAGCATGTGTTATATGATTGTAAAAGGTATGAAGAGGAAAGAAAGGATTTGATAACCTATTTAAATGGAAGAGGGAAAGTTAATAAGGATTTGGCATATTTGTTGGGTTATGAGTTTAATAAAGATAGAGTAGGATATAGAATACTAATAGAATATATATATAGTACTGGATTAAGTGAAAGGATTTAAATATAGGATAAGGATGCTTTGATCTAATCCAGATTTTATAGTCCTGTCTGTAGGAGCTGAACACGCAGCGACAGGTGGGCTATGGGAAATGGAATAAGATGAAGCATCAAATGATTAAATAAGGATGGATATTTGAGGAAGAAGTAAAGAAATAATAAAATAAGGAAAATCTGATCATAAGAAATCGTGACTGCATAACAGCAAAGGTAGGTGGCGATATGCACTAAGATTGCAACGCGCCAAAAAACGAAAGAAGAAGAAGAAGAAGACGCAATTGCCTCGCGACAAGAGCGCACTTTAGAGGACGCTGAGCAAGGCATGGAACACCTTGGTGCATTATTACTGCTGTTGACTTGTGTGTCACGGTTTCCTTTAACGGAAGGTAAGGGGTGGTTTGTAAATATTTGTGGACAGAGGATTATAATCGCATGTGCTTAATGTGTCTGAATGCATCGCTAGTGTTCACACTTTCCTATTGGACCGCACGCTGCACGCGGCGCTGTCACGCCATCTGATTGGATCGAACGCCTCATGCTCTGTCAAACTGATGTTCAGTTTCCTCGCGAAATATAAACAAATAACGTTACTTACTTACTACAATTACTGTCATACTTTTAAATATTCTAAAATAAATATAATATCACTGAATTTAATTTTGAACGTTGTAAAGCATCGTACAGCATGTCCTTGGTTCCACGTGCATGCGTGAGATAATAGCCCACTGTAAAGTAACTTACAGTGGCGGCGCTAGAACGTTTGTGAAATGTTCCCTAATTTATTGTAAATATAAACTTGTTCAATTTGGTTCTTTTTATCTCACCATAAGACTTGGACAAAGGGCTCATTGTCTATATAAAATGCATACAAGCATATATATATATATATATATATATATATATATATATATATATAAATGCATTTTGTTTATATATATATATATAATTTTATTTATTATTTTTAGTTTTTTATTATTATTATTTGTTACATAATCAATAATCTAATCATCAGGAACCCGAATATGTCTTCTATGTAAAGAGTAGGTGCTGAATTTGTTATCTTTCAGAGGGGGTGTACTAATTTATTCTTAGACATATAGATATACCGGTATAATTTTCCGAACGTAAACAACATGGATACTGACTGTTTCA